TATAGTTCTATCCTTCTAGAACTTTTTCAATCCTTACAGTTCTATCCTTGTAGAACTGTGTTTTTGCTTTAGAACTTTTATTTTCCTTCTAGAACATTTTGAACAGTTTTTATACATAACATATATGTGTATTCGTGTATGCACATTTTATTCTATTTCCATTATTAAAATCAATGTTCAGTTGTTTCATAAGGGAAAATTCCTCAAAGTGTCTAATAAACTTGTCCTTACTACATGGTATCAGAAAGGAGAAAATATATAATGTGAGCTATAGAGTTTTTTGAAAATTATCTTTCTATCCATGTTTATATACGTCAATTGTCACTTCTAATATTGTAACTTAACTTTATGTGCAATTACTCAAACTATGAAACTACTTATAATTAAGTTTTATAACATGTAAGATTGATTTTTTAAAAATTTCTTATTGCAGGATCGGAAGAATCTTTTCAACAACTTCTGCCAGAATTTTCTTCACAGGAGGTGAGCCAGCATGCTGATCTACCAAGTATTTTTAGCATTGAAGCAGGAGATTCTTTTCAAGGCATGAAAAATGAGAACTATCCATCCGATCAACAGACTGAAATACTACAAAATAAGAAAAAATGTGTTCATTTCCAGCTGTCTGTAGGAAACTTAAGTTCAGCCTGTAGTTCATCTAATGAGATGAATACATTTGATCAGTTACGTGCACAGCATAGCACTCCATGTGGTTCTGCCTCTAGTGAGTGCTCCATAAAACACCAGCTGTGGGTAGAAAGCAAAGAAGAGAGGTTGAGCTTTGAAGACCTGTCAAAAAGAGAAACTGTTACAATTTTACAAAGTCAAGGACTCTCTGAAGATGATAAAAATGAAACCTATAGGATGTTAGCTATAAATCCACATGTAGAAGAAACTGACTCTCAGTTATGTGTAAGAACAGTAGAGGTGGGAACTTCAGATCAGACACCACCATCATTAAGTACCCACAATGAAAAATATTTTGAAACTTCAAATGAAGCTCCAGAAGTCAAAAAAAACCTTCCTCAGACAACACCGTCTGAGCCCTTTCTAAGTTCCGGATCATTTTCATTACAAACCTCTGTTCCATTCTGGGTAAGTGAGATCTGTGTTATATAAACAGCATTTTAAGTTCCTTTTTAGGAGAGTTTTGAAACAAATATGAGGCACAGCAGTTGCCAAAATTTTCCAAAATAAAATGAGAAGACTCCAAATTTTGAAAACTCTCCTCTAAGGATTATAAAAAAAAATCTTCCTTCCCTATCCATTATTCCTTTTCTGCCTTCCCGAAGGAATGGCTAATCAGCCTGTGCTTTGGCATTTTCAGTGTTGAACCTGATTTCACTGAATCCATTATTGGAGTAACTTATACTGGACATGGTTTTCATTTTTTTAAATGTGCAGCTCATTCTTCCAGATAAGACAATGGGAATTTGAAATAAGAACTCCATCTAGGCCATAGATGTTTCTTTGGTTGCTTGCATGGCTTCTCAGTTTTTAAATTCTTAATATGTGAAGCTGAATACTTCCTTAAGTTGAAAAATCTTTGTTCTGAAAAATTTTAAACCTGTCAAGAGTGGTCTGCATCTGGTCCCAATAGCCACTGCTCTCCTTTGGCTAGTGTGTCATGCAGCTCTGTATACCCCAGCCAACTTGCCTAGCCATGAGTGTTCAAATTTCTGATCCTTGCAATATTTTAAGACCGTTATATTTTACTACACTGCCAAATCTTGTTTCTCCTAATGAAGAGGGGTTCCTAAAGGGGAATCCAATCTGTTCTTCTACAATGTATTTTAGCCACTTATGTACATTTGCACCAAATTCACATAATGTACAAAATGCACATTTATTTATGTTTCTCACACTTTAGATGCTTTAAGGTTTTTTGTAAATGTGGTTTTCTTTTCAATTGTACTGCACAGGAGACAGAATCTGGCCGTGGCATAATGGAAGAACCAGAACTTTCTTTGGTAAGCACCAGTGATATCAGTATTGATGAAACAGATTTTGCAAACTTATCCCTTGAAGAAAAGAAAGAGAATGAGGCAAAAAGCTGTTTTCAGGTAAATTTTATAGCATTCATTAATGTAAATACAGCTTATACGGGAACCTGTAACTAAAGATTGGGGAAATAGAAAAGGATACTAATCCTCTCTTCATCTTCCCTCATCTTATGATTATCTACACATTTCCTCCCCTCTATTACATGTAAATGTAATAAGCTGCATGCTCACAGTAGAAATTGACAGTGCATAGGAAGAGCTCCCAAAGTTCGAATGTATTAGTTTGCACCTTATAATCTGTAGTTCTAGTATTTGTGAAGGTATGGTTATTAAGACTTAAAGTGAAATTCCTTCCTCATCTCTCCCATGAAAAGTACTTTATCCTAAGACCAGGCAGCAAAAATAGAAAACTATTCTCACTTTTGAAGTTTATTTTTAATCTCTCAGTCAAAAGTTCTAAAGAAAAAAAAATTCTCTGGCTATTACAAAGGGTCTATTCAATCACCTGGTTGGTAATTTCAAATCTTAGGTCACCATTGGAGGGAGTTGTGCTTAGTTTTCATTTAGTTCAAACTGTAAGTTAGCAGATGCCTTTGACACACACACACACACACACACACAGCTGTTTTTTTTTTCTTTTGCTATTAAACATTTGGACTAGGGCTTTCACACAGAGCTACATCTCCAGCTTTATTTTTTTTCAGTACCAGGGATTGAACTCAGGACCCCAACTTCTCAATTGCTGAGACTACAGGTGTGTAGCACGCCTCCCAGCTTCATGCCTTTTAGTGTAGTGGAACAGATTTTTCTTTTATCACACAGGTAGTGTTTTGATGCTAAAGAATGGAACTTCTACCCAAAAATCAAGTACAGAAAAACAACTGAAATTTCTTAAGGGTTAGGTAATAGAGAAAAAGAGGTTATGTACTTGTCATGTGGACTGAAAGCCTGAGATTAAATATTTTCCCAGTGCTGTTCATCAGCATCGAGCCATGTAAGCCTGTATCCGAAAGCTATTGAGACAGAAGCATCTAATGTGTAAGAATGAGAACCTAGAATATAGGCATACATTAGTTTTCCTCTGTTGTGACCCACCCACCATTCTAAGACCATGCTCAGAATAGTTACTACATTCGCAGATATAGTGGTACCTTAGTTTATGAACTTGTTTTATTTTAGGGAAGATGGCTGCATTTGTGTATGAGTAACTGCATACATACTTTTGTCAGCATATGCAAAATGAAGCTGAATGCTTGTTTGAACCAGTTTGTTTGCAAACAGAAGTGTTCATGAATCAAGACAAGACATATTGTATTACTGTATTGGCAAAACAAATAAGCACTCATCTTGGTTAGTGGCTATATTTGGGGGCATAATGCTGGCAGCTAAGGGCTAATGCAAGCAAGCCAAAAGGCAGTTCATATAGAGCTTTCAGGAAAGTTCTTTTTCCTAGTGAGCACTGGACTTTGAACTACTTTTTCTTACTTTCTTGCAATTAGGTGAGTGAATTTCTGCCTGTTAAGTCAAAAACAGAAACTTTAGCTCATCCACTTGTATCAGAGCTTATGCAAAAGTCAACAGGATCTACAGGTATGCCCTAACAGACTGAATTGTATAAAGAAATTGCATATATCTGCAGTTGGCATAGTTAAATGTGAAGATATATTTAACAGAACTATTTCCAAAACTTACAGCCATACCAGAAAGCTTACAAGAAGCATTTGTTAGGAGAAAAAAATCGTTTATGGAGAGATCCTACCAAAGGCAGAAAGAAATACGGAGTAAGACTCGAGTTTTTGAACATTCCAAATCCAAAACAGTTAAGAAGCCATCTACAGGTATGGTTTAAATAATCTTAAAACAAGTTCATGAATGGCCTGTGATTCTTCTGGTTTTTGCTAAAGGATCAAACCCAGGGTGCCTTCTTCATGTTAGCTCTGACCTTTATGAAGGAAATCACTCTCTATAGCTGAGTAGTGTTCCAGTATATACTCCCATGGTTTTTTTATCTAGTCATGTTAATGGGTATACAGGCTCTTTCTGGGACTTAGCTATTAAGCATTGGTATGCATGTCATTGCAGCATGTCTTAAGCTCTTTGGGAAGCTTCCTGCTGTGGGATACCTGGGTCACATGGAATTTCTAATTCAGTTAAAAAAACCTTTGATTTCCATGATTCTACTAGTTTGCATTCCCAACAATGGTTTACTTTTCCCCACACCCATGCCAGCTTTTGATTGAATGACTCGGGTTTCTCTGCTCCATTTTTGACTGGCTCTCTGGCTGGCAAAAACTTCTTCCCAATAAATAACAAACCTTAAAAGTATTTGCAGAAAAATGGATGCACTTGGAAAATGGTGACATTAAACCAGACACAAAAGCTTAAATACTGTATGGTGTCTCACTTGAGGCAAAGTACAAAGAATGATAAGAGGATGGACAGAAGGGGATGGATTTTTTGGAATAAGTGAAGGCATAATGGAGAAATGGTCCAGGGGAATAAGAAGAGGAAATAAGTAGAAGATATGGGATATGGGAGGTCATTAAAACAGGACAGGTCCAGAGGTTTAGCTCAGCAAGGTCGAGTTTGATCCCCAATACAAACAAAAAAACTGTACATGGACCACTCCCAGATAAAAATTGAAAGAAACCTTGCTCTTTTCAGGTTCCTCTGTGAGTAGCCTCCGTGTGAATAAAGTTACAATGTGTCTTCCTGAAGAAAGGACACAAGCCCTCCTGCATAAAAGGGCTCTAAGGTACCTTTTATTTGCTGTGTTCTGGTGACTTTAATTTTCTATAATACACTTAATCCCATGAATATTTTACAGGCTATACAATCAGTTGTCTGAAGTAAAACAACAAAAGGAAGAGAAAGCAAAGCAAGAAGCTTATGTCCAAAACAGAGCAAGGGCAAAAGAATTTCAAAAGGTGAGAGCCCTCCCATCCCAACCCCTCAGCCTGATTTTCAGTTACTGTATACCATAACGGAAACTCATAAGAGTAATTTTATTCCTTCTACAGAAAACACTAGAGAAACTTCGCGCCAGAAATATGTGCTGACTTTCTATAACACGTGTAAAAAAGTATTTTAAATTAATAAGACAAAAATTGGGCAAAAATTAAATAAAAATAAATTTTTAAGTAATTTCACATGTGATTCCTTGTCTTCAAGATAGCCCTGAAAAAAAAAAAAAGACATTGGTTAAAACTTTGAAGCATTTACTTTCACCAGTCACAGCTTATGAATAGTTAAATGTTGTATCTCCTCAGGAAAGCATAGCACTACTGAGTGACTATGGCATACTGTGGAGAACATCATCTCTGGTCATCGCGTTAAGAGCTCTTGGTTTCACATTTCCATAAGCCCTCTTTGAAATGACCTGTATGGTATCTTCTCTCATGTGTACATACCTTTTCCAAAGAACTGATGCTTAATCCAGTTGTCCTATCTGCCCTGCAGATATATAAAAGATAATTATATAGTCATCAGTGCATTCTGAAGCTAGCCTAGCTACTTAAGTCCTCTACTTGTAAACTGTGATTAGCAACCAAGGGTAGGGAAGGCAAGCCTCCAAGGATCTAAAATAATTTTAAATGTGGCTGTTGTAAATACCAGACAGTGTACACCTAAGCAATGTAATGTTCCCAACAGGTTGATCGCTAGCAAGGTAGCAGATGGAAAACCTAGTGGGAAATTCTTTTATGGTCATGTCCACAGCAAATGAGAAACTTCATTCTAAAAGCCTTGGTAATGACCATTATTAATATCCCAACAGTTTATGGGTAACATAAAAATAGAATTACTTGCCGAAATTCTTTTATCGCCACTGAATTATGGACTGTGCAACTTCAAAACTCCTGTTCAAATAAACAATCCTTATTTACTATATAACTAGATCCAAAAACTAAGGTTCCCTGTGTTAAGTGTACTATAACCCAATGTCCAAACAATGAAAATTACAGCCTTAAAAAAAATTACTATTATGATTTGAACTAGACAAATTATGTAGAGTAACATTTCTGAATTTAGAAAATGTGAAATGTACCTTGAGTTTACATTCTAAAACAGTGTATTTAATGTGGATGTTCAGAGAGGCTAGTTTCATTCAGCCCATTCAGAGCAGTTGAACATTTTGCCAATCATCATATCATACACTCAGTGACAATCAAGTTTGATTGCAAAAAAAATCATTGTTTTTGCCTTTAAAAAAAAACCTTACCTGGGATCTTTTACATGCAAATTCCTTTCAGCAGTTTAAACTTTGGGAGCCTAGAATTTGAATTATACATAGTATTGGTATTGTGTCACATGATCTGGATTCTGTATTTCTTAATCATTTCTAATACCAAAAGTCAGTATTTTTCATTATTCTTAAGCAAAATGTTACAGGTCTCATTGTCACCACTGTAAATCATTTACTGTGATGGAAGCATGACCTGTGTCAATTTTAGCCACACTGACCAACTTTGGACACTATCCAACAGTGCCCATTCTCAACTAGAATGAGGCTTTGAGAAACCACCCCCACAGCTTATTCATACAGTATGAGCAAGGCTTCTGCATCTGAATGGAATCTATTATGCTACCAACAGGGGTAAACACCCACAGAAAAATAGCAGAAATAGAACACCTTACACTTAGGATAGATGGATCTGCCTTGAAGACACCCTAAATTTAAAAAAAAATATATTACACAGAAGGCCATGTACCAAAATGAACCAGTAGTAAAAAATAAAAGTACTGTATCAGTAGAAATACCAGGTTTAACATGCACAAAGCCAAGAAAACCAACGATGCCAGATACTGAGTTTCTATTGCACTGTCTTGTGAACACACCAGCAGGAATAAACTGTTGAGTGCAGATACCATACAGTGCAACCATTACTAAGGTATATACATAAAGGCCCTCCACTGTATTTTTGATTAACATTAATAATTATTTTAATGAGGTCACTAAATCCTTATCTGCTCAATTCACACATGGAATTAAATAAAGTCAAATCACAAAGGATTAACTCAGTTGTAAAGTGCCTAAGCCTGCATAAGGCCCTGGGTTCAATACCCAATGATAATGCAATCAAGATCATTACTGCTCTGCCAAGCAGTCCCAGGTACCTATGCTATGTATTTAGATTAAACCATGTAGAACTACCAGTGGGATAAATGACAGTGCAGAAAGTCTCCCATTTTTTTCATTTTATAAATACACGTATCAGTTTTTGCAGAGATCTTAATTGTTATACCTAAAGTCCTAAAGTGTGTATTAAAAGAAATTGGGATTATACTTAATTTTTATAAGTCCTTGATAAATTAAAATACTTCACTTACTTCTCTAAACATGCACATGAATTCATATTCATTTCCTAGAGAAATTACAAAATAAAAGATTTAGGAAGACACTAAGTATTTCCAGTAAATACAGATTTACTGTGCAGACTTGATAGCTACCTCCAGCTGTCAGAATTTAAGTTTTAGTTCATGTTTGTATCACTCAGCAGTTGAACAGTTAATTCATCATCTGAACTGGAACTGTGCCCCCAGAATACAGTATTATACTGTTTCCAATTAAAACTTACCTAAGCTATTCAGAGTAGTATAGATCTCTAGAACGTGCAAATACCTAAAGTTAAAAGAAAAATTAGGCCTTCCATACTTTCTGCTGTCTTGTAGTGCCTTATCACAGGCCTAATAAATAGACCTGTGAGCAAAGCAAAACCAGTGTTACTCTATGAGGCGTTTCCAACAATGTGTGGCCACAAGAAAGGCCCCATCGGGATAGACCTCAAGACACCCTAGGATCGCAGTGATAAATCGGAATTGTGATGTGCTCCAGCAAAATACAAAATTAGAAATGGAGATGAAAACTACTTAATTGCCCAAGTAAAGTCATCATTTTATAATGATTTTTAACAAGCTTGTTTAGCAGCCAGAATAGACTGATAAAATAAAAATATGCAAGTATCAGCAAGTGGCTTTGAGTTTTTTGTTTGAGACTGTCTCACTAGATAGTCCAGGCTGAGCTCTAACTTGTAATCCTCCTGCCTCACTCAACCTCCTGAGTACAGGGACTATAAGCCTATGCCATCAGCTAGGTAGCTAGATTAACCAAGGGAAAAAAAAATAGTACGAATTAGTATGAATCATATGACCTTCACTACTGGACTGTTGATGTTTTTTTTTGCCTATGTGCCCTATTTTGAGTGAATTACATTTCAAGAACAATGTAATTGGTACCAGTATATAAAATGCTTTAATCTAAGGTTTTTGGCATTCAAAGTCCTAACTGGAATTAAAGAAAGCCAACAATCTTTTATTAAAACTTGTGGAAATTTTAATCTGTTACTTACTACATTTAAACATGATCCAAACACAGTAAGACAATCTTCAACTCCAACCCCATATTCAAGACAGAAACCTTTAAGGAAAAAAAAAAAGTCAGGGATTTAGCTCAGTGGTTCTTCTGCCTGCCTCACAAGCAGAAGGTCCCAACTTCAATTCCCAGTACCAAAAAAAAGAAAAACCTATCTTTGTGTGCCACAACGTAAAAATTCTGCTCACACCCTGAACTTTATAATTAACTTTATTCTCGAAACAAAAACTTAAAATAGTTACTAACACCTTCCATCGCTTCAATCTGTGTGTACTAGGTTGTCATTTTTTGTTTTTGCTCTTTTGTTGAGGCAGTCTCACTATACAGTCCAGGATTCATGCCTCTTGCCTCATCCTCAGGAGCCCCATTATTACAGGCTGTTACTATGGTGTCTGGCAGTAATATTCCTTCTTATAGGTATCAAAACTCATACTGAACAATGAGTTCTGGGTTGCAAAAGAGGATTTATTTTTTGCACCTGTCCATGAAGTCTTAGTCCACAAGTTAAGACAAAAACACACACACAAGTGCCACTGTACAATGCAATGCATATTTAACTGCAGTGAGCTATTCAATGGTGATCACTAAGAATATCAGATGAAATAGAACTATTCCAGGTACATTAGTTAAAATTACTTTTGTGTTGTCAGGATTAAACCAAAGCCCTCATGCTGCTGAGCTATCTATACCAGATGGAGAAATAACTTATTAAAGCATTTGATAGTACATCTTTTTGTCTCAATAAAATTGGGGTTAACACATCTCAAAGATGCTGGCTGGATGCCAGTGACTAACATTTTCTTTCTGTGTTCCCTTCATACTTGTAAGCTGTTAATCAAAGTAGCAAGCACTGATAAACAGTAGGACTTATATACAGGAACTGGTCACTTTCCACCGGTGTTTGAAAATTTTAAAATTTTTTTACATTTTTAATTTGTTGCACAAACTTGGTTATTTTTCTCCTTCTGGGTTTAAGAATTTCTTCAACAGGTATCTTCATGTTAATCGTCTTTGGTTATTTCTTCCTATCAAAAAATTACTATATTGTTTTTACCTTCTGACATTCGTGTTTGTCTCTTTTTCAGGCCTTTCTGTCTTCTGCCCAGTATTTCTGGCCTTAGAAACTTCCTTTATAGACAGAGCAGCTTCTTTATTGTTTTCTCGTAAATACACATTCATCTTGTTTGGAAATTCAGAACTTAGTATGAAACAACTCTCTTGCTGCATTAAGAAATAACAATTACAATTTTCTTAATACTTGCTCATAATTTTACTTTTTGACTTCCCTCTTTTAACTCCCCCAAATATATCCTGTAAAGTATTAACAAAGTGTCAGTCTCTTATGCGTGTTAAAGTAAAAGTAACAGGTTACTTGAAACTAAAAACTCAAACATTTGTGGCACCACATATTACAATGCTCTTTCCTTAAGGGTTATAGCACTTGCCTATATCCAAAACTTAGTATTTGTCTTCTATCATCGCCTGTCTTAAAAGTTATTCTTTCAAAATTTAAATGGAAAGCCTTGTATGGTGGTGTACACTGGATCAGGTTCTAGGCCAGCCTGGGCTATATGAAGGTTAGACAAAAAAAAAATACCAGATACAATTCTTCTGCCAATGCCTGCTTTCCTCATATCAGGATAAAATTAAGTCACTTACTACCAATTTGATATCACATTCATCATGTTCAAGATGTGTCTCATCTTCTGCTCTGTAAACATTAAAATTTATCAAATTATAGAATGTTCTTTCCAACACAGTAAGACACTGCTGCTCTCTATGCCTGAAAGAACTTTAGCCAAGGTAAAAAAGAGGTATAATTCTAACTGGCCCATTTAATTTTGTGTGTACTATGTATTTAAACACACACACACACACACACACACAAACACAAACTTGAGTGGAGCATAGTGGCACACATCTATAATCACAGAACTTGGGAGGCTGAGGCAGGAGGACTGCCACAGTTTGAGGCCAGCCTGAACTATCTAGCAAGACTCTCAAAAAAAAAAGTCTGCGCCAAGGTATTTCAAATGTTTCAACTTACTCTGGCTCTTCAATAGGAGAAATGGAACCATCATCATCCAAGTATTTGTATCTACGACTGTCAAGATCTTCTTTTTCTAAATCTTCACCAACATTCATCTGTTTCAATGATTCCTTAAGGTGGTGTTCATACTTCAGTTTTTCAATGTAGTTAAAAAATCCTCTTGCAACAGCTTGCTGTAAAAAAATTTTTTTTATGTGTTAAATCTTTCAAAATTAACTCAGCATTTCTGGACCAAACACATCAATGATTATCACTCTACACTTAACAAGTATTCTCAAAATTATGTCTGCAAAATACCACATTAACTATACATTCAACATCCAATTCACAAATATTCCAATAATCTTTTAGCATTAAATATCAGAAAATAACAGAACAACTAGGCTTAAGAAATGTTTACTTAACAGCAAAGACATGAGTTTGATAAGGCTTACAGCAAAATGGAAGTCATGTTTTAGGGTAAATGAGATCAAGAATACATAAAGGGAGACTTGGAACACTGTTCTCTCATATCAACTTAGGAATATGACAGTGAAGTATTCACCCAGAAATACAAGTGAAGTCCAAGCTGAAGAATGCAGTCAACATTTATACAATATCAAAACTGCACTGTACCTTTTGTCTTAATACAAAAGGCTCTATGTACTGATGTATATAAACTCACCTCAAAACTTAAAATTTTCCTCCAAGGTAATGGTTTTCTTCCATCCTCCAATTGTAAAAATGGAAATGTGGGTCCTTTGTCTTTAATTTGTTTTTTATCTATTTGTGACTTTCTTCTAGGGTTTCTCCTTCCTTTTGGTTGTCCCTTTGGTCTTAATTTTGGCTTGTATTTCCTCTTTCTACGTTTCTTCTTTTGCTTGAATCTTTCAAAAATAGCTTTTAAAGTCAGTGGTCTTGGTTCTATAGATGAGTCACTCGATGAATCTGTTTGAATACTTTCAGGTATATGAATAAATTTTCTAATGGGCTTTCTTTGAGTCCGTTTAGGTAAGGAAGGGACACATTGTGTTTTAAATAAGCTGCTACCAGATGAGCTATCACTAGAAAATAAAATTTTACCATATTAGTAAATGCTTACTAGTAATATGCATCCCCAAGTGCTTATTTCTTAAGACCAACTCAGGAAAACATGCTTAGAATAGAAAATCAGAATGATGGGCTCAGTACCAGCTGTTGAATCCACCACAGTATCTAATAGTCATTTGTCTGGCTCTCCACTGACTTCCTCTATCTAAACATCCTATTTTTAAAAATCCTACCTAAAACCTATTAAAAAAAAGACATTTCAGCCAGGTGTATGTTATATTAAGTGCTTATTTCTTAAGACCAACACAGGAAAAAATGCTCAGAATAGAAAATCAGAATAATAGGCTCAGTACCAGCTGTTGAATCCCGACCATGGTATCTAAAATAGTCATTTGGCTCTCCATTACAACTTCCTCTATCTAAACATCCAATTTTAAAAAATCCTACCTAGGGCCAAGCATTTAGCTCAGCGGTTTGGTGGCCTGCCTTGCAAGCGCAAGGACCCAAGTTAAATCCCTGGTACAAAAAAAAAAAAAAAAAAAAAAA